GGGAGGAAATTGGAGGGGAGCTGTTGCATTGTGGTAAACTGTGGTCAATGACATGAGACAAAGTATATGTGAACTGCTGTATTGAGAGTGAATTTGCTCTGTAAATCTTCACCCAAATCTAAATAAAATAAAATTAAAAAAAAAAAAGACAAAATAAAAAAGCTGAACAGAAGATTTCAAAGAGCAGCTTGAGAAGACAAAGTTAACTATTATAACGAAATGTGCAAAGACATGGAGTTGGAAAGCCAAAAGGCAAGAACACACTTGGCATTTCTCAAGAAAAAATGTAAGTCGTCTTGAGTTGCAATATTGAAAGATTCTATGGGCCACCTCTTGGAAGGAAGATGGGGCAATCTACTTCCATAGTGATACTGCCTCAGAAACCCAAGGAGGGGTCACTATGAGTCATGTCTGACTCGATGGCGTATAACAACAACAAAATGGGCAAAATACTGAAATACAAAGAAGAGCATCAGGATTGGAGGAGGAATCATTAATAAGCTGTGATATGTTGACGACACAACTTTGCTTGCTGAAAGTGAGGATGACTTGAAGCACTTACTGAGGAAGATTGAGGACTACAGTCTGCAGTATGAATTACACCTCACTATAAAGAAAACAAAAATGCTCACAACTGGACCAATAAGCAGTATCATGATAAATGGAGAAAAGATTGAAAATGTCAAAGACTTCATATTATTTGGTTCTACAATCAACACCAATGGAAGCAACAGTCAAGAAATCAGATGATGTACAGCACTGCTGGAAATCTGCTGGAAAAGACCTCTTTCAGGTGCTGAAGAGCAAAGATGTCTCCTTGAAGACTAAGAGTTGATGCTTTTGAGTTGTGTTGGGAATGCTGAAAGTATCATGGACTGCTATAAGAACTAACAAATCTGTTCTGGAAGAAGTGCAACCAGAATGCTCCTTGGAAGTGAGAATGGCCAAACTTCGTCTCACCTACTTTGGTCATGTTGTCAGAAGGAACCATTCTTTGGAGAAGGATATCATGCTTGGTAAAGTGGAAGGTCAACGAAGAAGGGGAAGGCCCTCGATGAAATGGATAGACATGGTGGCTGCAATCATGAGCTCAGATATAGCAAGGATCACGAGACTGGCACAGGACTGAGCAGTGTTTTGTTCTGCTGTGTATAGGGTTGTTATTAGTTGGAGACGACTTGATGGCACCTAACAACAACAATGATTACATGGCAGTCAAAAGCATTCAAACTGATACTGCCCTGTGACCTCTACCTGTCTGTTCTCTGGCACTAGAAAGCAGATATTGAGAAGTGTTTCTCAAGGGACAAAAAGAGCTAACAGTGGCCTCTACACTGTCCACCACTTTGACTTCCCTTTTCTGCTTCATCAAAAACCAAAACCAAACTCAAGGCCGTCGAGTTGATTCCGACTCATAGTGACTCTGCCTTGGGTTTCTGAGGTGATATCTCTATGGAAGTAGATTGCCCAGTCTTCTTTCCAAGGTGTGGCTGGTGGGTTTGAACCACCAACCTTCTGGTTGTTGTTGTTATGTGCCGTTGGGTCGGACCTGACTCATAGCAACCCCTCCTTGGGTTTCCGAGGCAGTATCACTATGGAAGTAGATTGCCCCATCTTCCTTCCGAGGAGTGGCTGGTGGGTTTGAACCACCAACCTTCTGGTTGTTGTTGTTATGTGCCGTTGGGTCGGACCTGACTCATAGCAACCCCTCCTTGGGTTTCCGAGGCAGTATCACTATGGAAGTAGATTGCCCCATCTTCCTTCCGAGGAGTGGCTGGTGGGTTTGAACCGCCAGCCGTCTGGTTAGCAGGCAAGTGTCTTAGCCACTATGCTACCAGATTCCGACTCATAGAGACCCCCATTGGGTTTCTGAGGTGGTAAATCTTTACTAAAGTGTCCAGTCTTCCTTCCATAGGGTGGCTGGTGGGTTTTAACCACCAGCCTTCTAGTTAACAGTCAAATGCCTTAGGCACTACACTACCAGAGCTCCCAACCTTCTGCTTAGCCTTAGGCGCTATCCTACCACAGCTCCCTTTTCTGCTTTACTCCAGTTAAAATGGAGTGTAATGGGGAGGAGACAGGAACAACAGGCACCGAAGGGGAAGCCTCAAGAATTGCTAATTTTTTTCCCTTGGGTTATGAAATTCTCATTTTCTAGGTCTAGGTATTTGTTCCTCTCCCCATTGCACACCCAAGTCAGGTGGCCAGTTCTCAATTCTCTAGGGGCTGGGTTATCCTTTGAGTGCCTCACCTAAAGCCCACATGTTCTTCCATCCTCCCTTTAGTTCAGTAACTGATGTTATGGTACCTGGGGTTTAAAAACATGGCTTGGCACGTTTACATCAGGTAGATACACTCCTTGGAGCGATCAATCATGGGAGAACAGAAAGGCAGTGTTTGCACAGGGAGACAAATTGAGGGGCAGGAGTATATGGGAGGGAAGGACACAGGGAAAAGGTAACCATGGGGAGGAAGTGAGAAGAGAGCTGTTACATTTTGGGGAATTGTAGTCAGTGTCTTGAGACAAAATGAACTGCTGTATGGAAGATGAATTTGCTCTGTAAACTTACACCCAAATCACAGTAAAAATGAAAAAAAAAATTAAAACATGGCTTGGCTCACCTATACGATCCTTCATGACTTGAGGATAGTCACCAGCATAAATGGGATTGGCAAACCAGCCCAGGCAGAATTGTAGGTATCTTTCTGCAGCCTCTATTTCCCTGGGGTTCCTGATGTCCATGGGTTCCCCCCAATCACAGTTTAATGAAATCCCCACAAAACCTTATAAAAAAAGGAAGAAAAAGAGGGTGGGTGGGAATGCCATGGCTCCTTTTGGCACATGTCTGTTCTTAGCACGTTTGTGGTGGTAAAGCTCACCTTGCTGCCTGCTGCGCCATGTGGTGTTATAAGAATGCCAGGCTTGCGCGTGGGCCTGAAAGAAGAGCAGAAACTCATTATAGGTGCTTGACTTGTCCCTTTCTCTCCTCCCTTTCAATGTGGGATGGTTTTCTCCTTCCTGATTCTAGAGATCCAATATGAGATCTGCCATTTTCATGAACCCAATCTTAATTATCCTGATCCATGATCTCTCTCCCTCAGACCTCTAGAGACATTTTCTTTGTATTATAGTGGAAACTTGCCTAAACCTGGTAGGAACCACCTTGTGTTGTTATTTGTTGTTTCTCCGATTTATGATAAGGTCCTTGTTTTGTTCCTCTTTGTCCTCCATAGCAACTAGGCAGTACTTTTCTCATAGGTGCTCTGTAAACTAGAAAAATGCCAAACATCTTGAACAGTTTTGAGAAATGGAATCTAAAATGTGCCAATCTACCTTCTCTCCAGATTCTCTACCAGTTATCCACTGACCTGCCTAAGAGGCTATTTCAGATGCTGGTTCAACACCTAAGACAGATGGAAGGTAATCTAGAACAGTGTTTCTCAAAGTGTGGTCCCTTGGTCAAGAGTTTCAGCATCCCCTGGGAACTTGATAGAAATTCTTGAGTAGGCACAGACCTACTAAATCAGAAACTGGGAGGAGGGCCCAGTAATGTGTGTTAACAAGACCTCCAGGGGATTCTCGTGCAAGCTGGAGTGCAAGCATTGATTTAGAACTGAATATTTTCAGATTATAAAATCTGGGTTTGTTTTTTAATCACAGAACTCCCATTTATCAGTCTTCTCTCCGTATACTTTGTTTTTCTAGCCAGAAAAATACAATGAATTATTGCTCATATCATGGGATTGCCTAATGAGGGAAATACCTGAAAAGAGTATCAAAATTACATATATTCAACATACTGTCTATTGTAGATTAGAAAGGCTAAAAAGTGACTTCCCTATTCATTAGTAAAGATGTCTTCAGAGCTTTGCCCCTAAAATAGTCATAAGTTTAAAAAAGCATAAGGCAAAGGAAGAAAGAGTGAGAAATTTCTCCCCCCTGCATGTGTTTGAGGGCCTGATATGTCCTCCTGTGGCCCCTTACCTTCCAGCTGGCACTGATTGTCCATCCTCTGCTAAAGATCCGTCAGGGCCAGTCCTATCCTGCCTCCCATCATTGCTCCCTTCAGTCATCATCCTTATCCCCATGTTGTCCTATGATGTCACTTATATGGCCCAAGGCCCTCTCCACCTTCACATCTTTTCTGTAGCCTTATAATTCATGGACTTTCTCGTCTGCCTTCTTGCCCTTAACATCTGGCTGTCCCTAAAGACCACCTCCACTGCACCTCTTTTAAGCACAGCCTATTTTTCTCATACCCCACATACTTTAGGGCTTGGAAGTAGAGTAGCATCTGCTTTGCTCTTTATTGCTACTTCCATACTTCAAAATCTCAGACCCTTTGAAGTCCATGCATCACACTATCATTCCTTACCCCTTCTTACTACTGTGATTCACCAACCTCTAGCTACTTCTGCTCAGTCATTAGTGATTTGAGCCCCTAGCTCACCGTCTTCCCTTACCCTCCTTCCTGTCATCATTCTTCACAAGCCATTTGGACCTATACAGAAAACCAAACTCACTGCCACTGAGTTGGTTCTGACTCATAGCGACCCCTCCTTGGATTTCCAGGCAGTATCTCTACGGAAGTGGATTGCTCAGTCTTCCTTCCAAGGAGTGGCTGGTGGGTTTGAACCACCAGCCTTCTGCTTAGCAGTCAAATGCCTTAGACACTATGCCATCAGAGCTCCAAGGTGACAAATTTTCACATGTATATGCTGCATCCCCATGGCAAGATTATAAATTCTGAGTGGGCAGTCACTGTATCCTCTCAGCCACAGTACCCAGCAAAGGGCTGGGTGACAGGACATCCTGTAAGTCTTTGTGGGATGAAAAGTGAACAGGATGAAGGTGCTATGGAATATTCTGGCTTTGAGGTGAAGAAGCAAAGACTGAGCTTGGGCCAGGCTGAGCTGACACTGGAGATCAGCCTTGTCACAAGGACCCACCAAGCCCATCTCACCTTAATGATGTGATGTGCTGCCTTGTACAGGCCGGTGCCATGGAGCTTCAAGCCTGGTGCATGATGGCCTGTCTCATAGCCTTTTTCCACCATTGCCTAGAGGGACCATAGGACCCATGAGAAGAGGCAGGAGCAATCTGGTCAGGGACATGGGCTTTACCACCTGGAGAGAGACCTGGCTTACCCGAGGATCACTGAAAGTGATCCAGTGCTTCACCCGATCCCCAAAGGCCTCAAAGCACAGATTGGCGTAATCATTGAAGTAGTCGATCAGGCTCGTGTTCTGCCACCCACCATATTTAACCTGGAGCAGCTGCAAACAGAGAAGTGGAAGGAGAAGCAGATGCCCAAGGGTCCATCTCTGGAAAAGACTTCTGGAGCCAACTGGTCAAGTGTGTGGGTGGGTCAGCTGTAGAGCATGTCTGGAGAGCCTTATGCTCAAAAACAGGAGAGCAACAATGCAGGGTCTTGGGCATTAAGTCCTGAAGACAATGGCAGTGATGAATCAAAGCAATTTAAACATGGAGATAAACTATAACATATTTCGTAAAAACAGGAGGGAGATAAAGTTTGAGACTAACATTATTAGAACAAACTTGATAGGTTGAAGGTTTAAGGAAATTTGCCAGAGGAAAGGCCTGATAATAGAAAAAGAATCTTGAGTGTAAGTGCTGAAGAAATGAGATAGGATGTTGGGTGTGATGAGGGTGTGGAGGCCATGTAAGTGTCAGAAGCCTCCCAGAAACCTCTATTATAGGGGCAAGTGGGTTGTGCTTGCTTCCTCAAGGGGCCCACTCTGCTCTGAAGGGTGAGGTTTTCCCAAGATTTATCATTCCATAGAGATGACTTACCACACTCTCCTTGGGTTTGAAGGGGCAGGTCAGTGAAAGCCATTAACCAAAGAAGAAGCCAGAAGGTGGTTTCTGATTCATCTAAACTATCTAAGTGGGTACTCTGCCTCCCCAGGTGCCAGCTTAGAGGCCTCCAACAACTCTTTCCCACAGAATAAACTCATCACCTTAGCTCAGGATTTGAGGTTTTCCAGATCTGGCCCCAAGCTACTCGTCCAACCTTCCTCTCTCCTGCTTGCTGCCCAGACTCTCACCATATCACTTGCCCAGCCCTTCCTCCCTTCCTGTCTTGCTTCCTCTAACCAGACCACCCTTTCCTCCTCCTCACACCAAGACCCTTTAAAGCACTGATGGGACTCGCCTTCTACCCAGTACCTCCCTGAAGCCCTTCTCCATCCTTTAACCCCCCAAGGCTCCTTTTCCAGTATTGTCGGCCCTGTGTCAGGGAGAGTTATGAACCCGACTCCTCTCTCTGCCAGAGTGTGATCTCCATGGGGTCTTGATTGAATTCATGAAAAAATTACTTGAATGCGGACATCTAGCAGCGATACTCTCAAGCATGTTGAGGTGTCAAGGAAATTGCTTGGGGTGTCTTATAGAGAGCATATGATGCTGGCTCAAGCGAATGGGGGGGAAATGGTAAGAAAACTTGTAAATTACGCTGTGCCACCAAATCTTAGTCAAAAGATGTTACTTAATAGTTTTTTTGTTGCTATTTTTTATGCCAAGTGTTTTGGAAAATAGCATAAGGTATACTTACCACCTGAAATTACAAACACCAAGCAAACCAGAATGGTCTCCCTGGCTTGGTGAGTCAGAGATGTTTCGTCTTCACTCATTCACATTAGATGGTCTTGAGCCAGAATATAGACCCTTTGCCCTCCTCTTGCTGCTCTGACAGTAACAAGTTTGGTTTGGTTTTGCTGTCTCAGGCCCCCAAACCAGTCTTCCTCACGCTGACCTGAGCTCCCCTTGGCCTCTGACCTGTCTCAGGCCTCACCTGAGGGAGATCCCAGTGATGCAGGGTCACCATGGGGGTGATATTGCTCTTCAGAAGGGCATCAATGACATCGCTGTAGTATTTGACTCCCTTCCCATTCACCTGATCAGCTGTAGGTGAAATTAAAGGGGATTTGATGAGGAAGGACCTTGACCTTGGCCTTCTAAAGTGCAGCATTCCTGGGCCCTGTAGACTTTTGCAGGCTTGAAGGCACCCTCAAGCACTCAGGGTGGTACAGCCACTTCCAGAAGCCCCAGTTTCCCACAGAACACGGGAGAGCTACTGCCAGCGGCGATCACGTTCGTTGGCTGCTCTTCCTCCCCGGGACACTGTGGTGTCCCTGCAAAAGCAGCTGTGGCCAAAAGGGGCCACACTTGGCATTGAGAGGGGCCACCCTAGCTTACCTCGAACACCCGTGGGCAGGAGTCTGGGCCAAGACAGGGAGAATTGATAGTGGCTCACGTTCAGCTCCCTCAGCAAAGCGATGTCCTCCTGCACAGATAGGGATGGGGGCAGGGCAGGGTCCTGGGGCTGGGGAGGGGCACTCAGGACCCCGAGACTGAGGCTCACTCTTGTTTCTAGCCCCTAGTGGGTGAGGAAGGAGCCATTTCTTCCTCTATGTAGTAGATTCAATACCACATGCCCCCTTCGTGCTGGGGATATACTGAGTCAAATGAAATGAAGGGTATGGGAACACTTTGAGAAGTCCACCATGTGGGGTATTCCCAATAAACTTGGGTGATGAATCCCCCAAGAAGTCCATCCAGAGAGGAAAGTGGTTGCTGGGCAGAGGGGCTGAGGATGTGAGGGTACAATTCACAATTAGGGACCAGGGATTCAGGCTGCTGTGGCCTGTAAACCTTGGGGCTATGGCATCAGCCCTTTAGCTACCCATCACTTAGGTTAATGTCATGGCTCAGTTCGGGCCCTGCTTTTCTTTCCTTTTATGTCCTGGGACCTCCCCGAGCCCCCACTCACTACCTCCCCTCCCTTTTACCCCATTGGAGCCACATTCAATTAGGAATCTTCCGTGTTCTTGCCTCAGGCCTCAGTTTCCTGACTGTTGGATTGCAAAGTATTGGCCAGAGCATCAGCTTGGCATCATCACCTGGGGTCCCCCAATACCTCTCAGCTAGGCGCATATGCAAGCACACACACACACACACACACCCATATCATTCACCTGGACCTTGTAGTAACCATCGCAAGCCACATCTGCTGTCTCATCCCCAAGCACCTTCCCTTTCCCGCTGTGTGTGAAGGCATCCCAGATGCTGGGTCCTTTTCCATCCTGGTCCCAGGCACCCTCCGTCTGGTAGGCAGAACTGCCCACACCCCAGGAAAAACCTGCAGGTAGAGACCCCAAATTGGTTCCAGAGCTGGGACTCTGGGCTGTGCCTCCAGGGCTGCAGGAAAGGCCCTTTGCCAACCACCCTGCCATGCTCTCCCTTGGCCTTGTCTCCCCAGGAGACAAGTAGGGCCAGGATGGGAACTTTCTCTTGCATAATTTTATCTCCAATTAGCACTTACTCTCTGTATAGCTTTTAGTAACTTAAAAAAAAAAAGTCTGTTAGGAACTTCTTTTACATTACAGCAACTACATGGAGTTATGTTTCCAGTTTTCCCCTGGCCCCCATCCTACCAGTCAGTAAGCTAAAATGCCAAACTCCTTGGCAAGTCAGCCAAGGTGGGCAGGCTGACATATAGATAGACAGACCAACAGAGGACTGGACGTACCAGGTGGGAATGTTCCGTAGTAGAAGGACTCTTCTTGGGACCCCTTCCTTGTAGCTCCCAGCCTGGGCACCAGCAGTAGCAACCACCAAAGGGTGATGACCCGAACTGGCTTCATGGTGCCCCGCCCCTCCCCCGAGACCTGAAAAAAGCACACCTGACAGCTGCAGCATCAGAATGCTGGGCTGTGGGGCAAAGGCCAGCAGGAGAGGACTGGGGTATGTGTAGAAGGGGTGGGTAAGGGGGCTTTATCGCTTGGGGGCAGCTGGTCACAGCTCTCCTGGGACCCAAACACTGACTCCTGTGTGCCCCTGCTGTGACTTCTGGTGTGAAGCCTTGAGTGGGGACAAGGGCTTGGCTTAGCAGGGCTACAAAGCAACCCTTCCCCCTCCCCTTGCTCCTAGTCGAATGTCCCTCTGCCTTAGGGACACTCCAGTCCGATGGGGAAGGTGGGGCAACACACAGAGCCTATGCCGAAATCACACCTACAGAATGTGGCATGTGGACAGGGACAGACCATCCCCCCAAGACGAGAGATGTCATAAGCAGGAACACCCTCCCTAGGGCCTCCAGACCTGAGGGTCAGTGAGATTCCCTGTTCCCATTGGGCTCCCCTCTCTGAGGCCAGCCTAGCCAGCTTACCTAGGATTGTCCTTGGTCCCAGACCAAGGTGGGGACCAGAGCGCTGTCTGACTGACCCCCTAGTGCCTGCGCTGCCCCCTGAGAGTAGAGCCCACAGCACTAGAGAAGACTCTGGTTGGGGGTGTGGTCTGTGGCCTAACCCCCCCTACAAAGAGTTTGAATAGCCCCATTCAGTGGGGCCCAGGCTGGAATGCTGAGCTGGCCCTCGGGGCCTGAGTCAGCAGCCTGGGAGCTTGGCCCTGGGCCCCAGGGGCATCTATTCTGTCTCCTGCCCTGGCCAAGGGGCAGCCAAGGAGAGCAGGAGACCAGCCCGCTCCACCTCCTGTACATCTTCATCCTATGAAGCTCCAAGTGGGTATGGTGAGTGAGGGCAGTGCTCAGAGTCACAGGCTATGTGCTGGCATCTGTCAACCCCTCCCTGCTGCCAAAGAATATTCACTGTAGAAGATAAAACTGATTTTTCCAATTTGCTCTCCTCTCTTTGGACATATAATTCATTCATTCACTTACTCATTTATTCAATCACCACTGCCTGTGAGGACCCCCCCCCCCCCCCCTCCCTACCCCCAGAGGTTCAACACCTCTTGCTCCCTATCCTGTCTGCTTAGGTCACTCCCCTGCTATGGGGTCCTTCACTGAAGCCCCCACCCCCCACCCCATCATAGCAGACCTCCCCCAACAGAAAAGTCTGTCCCTACATCAACCTCCAACCTTTTTACCTTCCAATGAGCCCTCATAGAGGCTCTCTCAACTGGGCAGCCCTGCCTCCTTTTTCCTTGATTAAATACTTTGTAATCCCTCTGGTGGTGCAGTGGTTAAGGCATTTGGCTGCTAAGCAAAAGATCAGCGATTCAAACCTACCAGCTTCTCTGCGGGATAAAGATGAGGCAGTCCTTCCGTAATGATTTACAGTCTTGGAAACCCTACGGGCCAGTTCTGTTCTGTCCTATAGGGTTGCTATGGGTTGGAATCAGTTCGATGGCAGTGGGTTTGGTTTTTTAATCCCTCAGTAAGGAGCCCTGGTGGTGCAGTAGTTAAGCATTTGGCCGCTAACCAAGAGATGAGCGATTTGAACCCACCAGCGGCTCCACAGGAGAAAATACCCAGCTATCTACTTTGTTAAAGACTGTTGTTATGTGCCGTTGAGTCGGCCCTGACTCATAGCGACCCCTCCTTGGGTTTCCGAGGCAGTATCACTGTGGAAGTAGATTGCCCCATCTTCCTTCCAAGGAGTGGCTGGTGGGTTTGAACTACCAGCCTTCTGGTTGAAAACCCTGTGGGTGCAGTTCTACTCTGCCGTACAGGGCCACTATGAGTCAGAATCAACTCCACGGCACACAACAAAAATCCTTCAATCTTGGATGGGCAGCACCTCCTCCAGGAAGCTTTCCTGAACTCATTCACCCATACACCAGGTTAGGTGTTTACCCTTTCTCTCCCTGCACCTCCATGTCAGCTGTTCGTGCATCTGTCACCCCTACTGTTTTACAGACTTCTGGGAAGCAGAGATATGTCTACTTCATTTACCCAGTGTCCCCAGGGCCTAGCTCATTGCCTAACATAGTTGGCACTCAGTAATGTGAGTTGAATCTAAATAATACAATAATGATCTTAGAACTGGCTACCATTTATTAGTGCTTCCTGTGGTTCAAGTGTTTCATGTACTGATTGATTTAATTTTCCTAACAGCACCCAAGGCAGGGTGGCTGAAGCAGCTTCAGCCTTGAAAGTTGGTGTGTGTGTGTGTGTGTGTGTGTGTATTTCTGAGCCCCCAGCAAGGCCATGGTTGTATTACTGTGCAGCATGGAAGCTGGCTCCTTCTGGACCTGACCACCAGCCTGGTGGGGGCCTTGCTCTAAGGTTTGTACTGTTACTGGACCCATTTTTGAATCCAGGAAACTAGACAGTTCCTCCATCACTTCCTCCCACAACTCCTCCCACACCACTAACTTTCTCCAGGCAGCTCCACCCTGGCAATTAACCAGGGCCTTGCTGAGGCCTGGGAAGAGGGCAGAGTCCCTGGAGGCTTGGCTGCTAACCCAAAGGTTGGAGGTTCGAGTCCACATACAGGTGCTTTGGAAGAAAGACCTGGTGATGTATTTCTGAAAAGTCAGCCATTGAAAACATGGAACAGTTCTATTTTGATATATATGGAGTCTCCATGAGTTGGGATCAACTCCATGGCAGCTGGCTTATTGGTCTGTGGGGAGGATGACTGGATCCAGAGAGGAGGCTACTTTCCCCTCCAGCTGTCACTGGCTTCTACTGGCAAAGCCTGTGGTAGGTGACTAAAGCTCCCTCCCCAAACTCTGTGCTTCCCCAGGTGCAGTCATGGGGCAGAACACACTTCTCAAAGTGGAAACGAGGGCTAGGTTCCTTAGCAAAATGCCTCTATGAAACCCAACCCAAACCCATTGCCATCAATTTGATTCTGACTCATAGCAATACCATAGGACAGAGTAAAACTGCCCCATAGGGTTTCTAAGGCTGTAACCTAATCAACCTGAAAAGAGCCTCTTTAAATAGAAGAGACTTGGACAGTTTATTTTATTCAGAGGAGGTGATGAAGGCTCAGAGAGGGCCAAGGTTTGGCCCAAGATCACACAGCAAGTCAGGACTAAACCTTGTCTCCTGCTCTGACTTTGACCTGATTGTGGGAATGAATGGATGGGTGTGTCTCCCCACCAGTTTGTCTACCTGTCTGCCCTCAATCCTTTCTTCCACAAATAATTCTTGAGTCCCCACCAAGTGCTACAAGAGGACAAGAGTGAAACGTTGCTTGGCCTGTGCCTTTCAGGAGCTCAGAGCCTAAGGTGAGGGCATAGGCCGATGGTTCTAAACCTTGTACATTGTGATCAGGGATTGTAGGGAAGGATGGACAGACACCAGGGAGACTCAAGGAGGTTTGGGGCAGAAAGGCCTGGCTTCACAGGTGAGGTTACATTGAACATGATACCTGAAGTATACATAGGAGTTTGCTAGATGGTGCAAAGCAGGGAAGGCGTGCAGGGATGAGGGAACAGTGTGAACAAAGGCCCAGAAGTGTGTTTGGGGAGCTGGGAGCTTGGTATCTTCTCTCACATCTGCCCCAAGGGCTTGGGAAGACTGTGTCCTTGGGGATGAACAAGCCAGCATACAGCCACCCCTACTACCATCTCTCTGGAGGGTCTCTCCGAAGGGTGAGATTGTTAGGCGTGTCTATTTGCATTGTATTAGTTGGAGATGTTATTTGTGTTAGTGCTGGAGGTGACACCACAGAGCCTGCTGCCTGTGTCCCCTGGCTGGTGATCTCAGGGGACTCTGCTCTCTCTGGCTGAGGTAGGCAGGAAATATAAAACTCTAGGAGCTGATGTCATCTCTGAAAAATGCCCTTTTCCTGCCAAGCTGGGGCCCAGTGTTTGTGTTGGAGGGGCTGGTGAGCCTGGCATGGCATGGCAGAGCTGCACGGGGCAGATTTGTCTGTGGATCAGTCTCTGCATTCTGCTGCCCCATCTCCTCCCCTGGGTTCCCAGCCTGGCTCTGGCTGGAAGGACGGAGGACCTCACAGCTAAAAGACTGTCCTCCAAGCTTCATTCCCACACACACACATCCTGGGAGCTGCATAGGCACTGTCTGAGGCCAGAGCTCTCAGCTCCCTGGGACAGTGGGTCTGCAGTTTCTGGAAGCCCGGTCCTGGCTGAGGAACAAGTTGTGTGGGCCAGTGGCTCTTGGGCTCCTGTAGCTCCTTCCTCTTCCCTCCCCACAGAGGTTACAGATGTGGGAGCCCTCTGTCAGCAACCCCACAGGGCCAAGGCTATAGTCTGAGCTCCGTGATGTTAGGAACAGACTTGGTAAAAGCCAGGAGTCTGGTTCTTCAGTCTTGGGAAGCTCAGATGGGTTCCCAGGCACAGGCTGGGCAGGAAGGGGTGAATGCACAAAGAGACAGCCCAGGACTCCCTGGGCTGTCTCCCATCCTGCCCTCTCTGCACCTCAGGATCCTGAGGGGAAGGACACCTGGAATTCAGAGAACTAAGTCCTGCTGCCATCTTGCCAGGAACTGGGTCCTCACCTGTAAAAGGAGAGCACTGGACAACTGCTCTTTCAGGAACCTTCTGGCTGACACTGTGCAGCTTCGTGATTCTCTTCCTTACCCTTCGGAGCTGGTCAGTCCTTTCTCCACAGGGATCTCTAGGGTTAGAGCTTATGGCAACCCTGCTCAACCCTGAGCTGAGCGACAAATTCCAGGTCAGAATCAGAGCAAGAGATGAGATTTAGTCCTGACTTGCTGTGTGATCTTGGGACAGCCATTGGCTCTCTCTGGGCCTTCGTTTCCTCCTCTGAATAAAATAAGCTGCCCAAGTCTCTTCTGTTTAAAGAGGCTCTTTTCAGGTTGATTAGGTTACAGCCTTAGAAACCCTATGGGGCAGTTCTACTCTGTCCTGTAGTGTTGCTATGAGTCAGAATCAAATTGATGGCCATGGGTTTGGGTTGGGTTTC